GATCTAAATCCATCATGAACCTCAGAAAAAATTGATTATAAGATTTAGGGGTTACATTTCGTCGTAAATTCGATGGTATATTACGACGAATCACACCCATTCGTCGTAAAATCGTCGTAATATAAACCACATATCTACAAGCTCTTTAATCTTATACTACAAAACCTTATATAATACATGAGCTTACTCAGGAAAATGCACCAAAAACCCATTCTATAAGTTGGTAAAGCGAAACCCTATAGGGTTTAGGGTTTGCAGTTTACGACGAATTTATGACGATTATTTGGAAAGCGTCGTAAATTCGTCGTAATAGTCAACATATGTCCAAGTCAACACTTAAACAAATTTTCTTTTGAATAATTGTCTTCCCTTTTTAAAACATTTAAAGTTTAACAAATTTATCAAATTTAACAAATGTTACATTTAAACGTTTAAAACATGCAAGCAAATGTCATCGTGTTTAATCTTCAACATTTTCCTCGTTGTCCTCATCATCTTCATCACTGCTTGTTTGAAATTCGTCAGCACCTTCTTCAGTTTCGTCCCCATGGAGATCTTCAACTTGTCAATTATGTGGATCAATTAAAAGAACATGTTCTTCAACCTCAGATTCCGTAATGTCGACACAATCATCTTGTTGCATTGGCGGGAGATCTACACCATCAATTATACCCCTTGGAGCAACTTTGACAACCGCCAGCCATGAAATTCCCGTACTTCGAACTCGAGGATATGGAACAAAGGTGACTTGTTCTTCTTGAGATGCAAGTATAAAAGGCTCGAACTTATTGTATCGCCGAGATGCGTTTACATCTACCACTCCGAATTTATTAATACGCACTCCACGACCCACCGTTGGATCAAACCAATCACATTTGAATAGAACAATTTTCATTCTTACTAATCCGGGGTATTCCACTTCAATTATCTCATTTATGATCCCATAAAAGTCAACTTCACCTCGTACACAAACTCCATAGTTCGTAATTGCCCGTTGAGTGCCATGACTGTAAGTATGAAAAACATAGCCACGTGTGAAATACATAGCTGCAGTAGTTATCTTCGATATAGGACCATGGAGCAACTCATGAAACCATACTGTATATGTCATGTCATCATGCTCGACCTGAGCTTTTAACCACATTGCATAATGTTGGTCTTTCCGCTTATTAATTTCATCTTCTGAAACACCGTCAATGCATTCTCGGACTTGACTGACAAAAGTGCTGAAATTTGAAAACATTGTTAAAGACATCGTCTATTCAATCAAAATATAATCATGCATCCTTATTTTTATGTACCTCTCGTAAGGTGCCAATTCCTCGCAATTCATAAGTATATATGTATGTGCGCTGTGGAGGTCATGTTCGTTTGACCAATAAGTTTCTTTTAGTTTCCCACTTAGACGTCCAATTGGTGAGAATATATCAGGCACACCTTCTACTGCGTAACTTTGTCCTGGACCCCATCGTTATAACGTCTTGGAGCCCGTTTGCGTGTACGAACTTTCGGAGCAAAATAATAAGACGTGAGATGAGAAGTTTCTTCTGTCAAACTTCCCGCCACGATAGACCCTTCAACTTTTGCTAAGTATTTAGCCTTACCCTTTAAATGCTTCATAAAGCGTTCAAACGGATACATCCACCTAAACTGAACAGGTCCTCCCAACTCTGCTTCATGAGAGAGGTGTATAGGTAAATGTTCCATAACATCGAAGAAAGCAGGTGGGAATATTTTCTCTAAATTGCACAACAATATTGGAATATTTGTAGACAGTTGGGCAACTACATCTGCTGATAATGTTCTTGTACTTAGATCACGAAAGAAAGCTCCAATGCCTCCTAGTGCCTCATGGACATGTCCCGGTAGGAGTTCAGCAAACGCAAAATGAAGTAACCGTTGCATAAACACATGAAAATCATGACTTTTCATCCCTGAAAACTTTTGTCCTTTATCCACAGATTTAGCCAGATTAGATACATACCCATCAGGAAATTTCACGGCTAATAATACCCAATTAAACAATGCTGCTTTTTGTTCAGCACCCAACCGAAATACAGGAACTGGTGCTTTCCCATTACTCACCATATGCAACTCAATTCGGTTACATATATCGGGCAAATCCATCCGTGATTTAACGCTGTCTTTGGTTCTTCCTTGGACGTTCAAAACAGTATGCATGATGTTATCGAAAAAATTCTTCTCAATGTGCATAACATCAAGATTATGTCTCAGCAAATGATCTTTCCAGTATGGCAGATCCCAAAATATACTTTTCTTGTGCCAATTATGATGAACCCCATATCCTTCAGGCATATTCGCTGGAGTGTGCCAATTTCCTCCTCGGGGGACCGTTTCAAGTCCACCCCAATGATCTATTTGTGCTTCAAGATCTACCCCAGTTAGGTACACTGGTGGAGGGAGACGAACCAATTTGTTCTTTATAAACAAACGCCTGTTTCTTCTATATTGATGGTTTGGTGGTAAAAACCGACGGTGGTAAAAACCGACGGTGGCAATCAAACCAACAGGTTTTCCGACCATGTTTAAGCTGAAATGCATCAGTCCTATGAAGACAATAAGGACATGATAACCTCCCATGCATTGTCCAACCTGAGAGCATTCCGTATACCGGAAAATCGCTTATTGTCCACATAAGCACCGCTCGCATCGTAAAATTTTTACCACTCGAACAGTCATATGTTCATACTCCAACATGCCACAACTGGTTTAACTCATGTATGAGTGGTTGCAAAAACACATCAAGGGCCCGCTTCGGGTGATTTGGACGAGGGACTAATATACTTAGAAACAAAAACTTCTTTTGCATGCACATATCTGGAGGAAGGTTATATGGCGTAAGAATCACAGGCCATAATGAATATTGCCTACCGGACATACCAAATGGACTAAACCCGTCAGTGCAAAGACAAAGATAAACATTTCGCTTAGACATAGCAAAGTCTGGATGTACGGTGTTAAAATGTTTCCAAGATTTCCGGTCAGACGGGTGAGTCATTTTACCATCTGTTTGTGAATGTTCTGCATGCCATCTCATCGACGCAGCTGTCCGTTCAGATTGATATAGTCTTTCTAACCTATCAGTGATAGGAAGATACCACATTCGGTTGTAAGGAATCTTCTTACGCCCAGCAATTTGCGGTCTATATCTTGGCTTTTGGCAGAAACGACATTTTTCAAGCTTCTCATCATCTCTCCAAAAAAGCATACAATTATCAACACAAACATCAATCATCTCAGAAGGCAATCCAAGACTAAAAATCAGCTTCTGAATTTCATAATCGTTTCAGCAGCCAAATTATCATCTGGCAAATACTCTTTAATAAGATCTGCCCAATCGTTCATGCATGCAAACTTCAGATAGATTGTGATCAGTTTTTATTGTCATCATCCGAGCTGCCAATGATAATTTTGATAAACCTTCCCTACATCCCTCGTAAAGAGGCTGTTTTGCTGCGTTTAACATATCATAAAAGCGTTTCGCATCTGCATTGGGCTCCTCAACAGTATCAGCATGTGTTTCATGAAATACATCAGTAGCCATTTCATGCATCCTATCATGATCTTCACCCTGAACTTGACTACTTTGATAATCATTTGACGCTTCAAAATCCCCATGTTCTTGATGATTACTACTACTCCGTGCAGCCATCTGACCACTACTTTGATCATATCCCTTTCCATGCTGATACCAAATAAAGTATTGGGGCATGAACCCTCTATTCAATAAATGCTGCCAGACCGTGTCAATAGGAATATGTTTCCTATTTTTGCATTTCACACAAAGACAATACATTTTGCCGCTTTCAATTACAGTTTGCATAAGGCCGACCTGGTACATGAATATTTCCAATCCGTTTTTGAAATCTTCAGTCAACGACCCATCACTATTTTTGAGCGTATACATCCACTTTCGTATATCGTATATAGACATTTCAAAAACAAATAAGTGACTTTTTGTTTTTGAAATTTGATATAAATTTCAACTACTAAAAATTTTACTTAAACATTCAAAGACTCAAAAATTTGTGTCTTTGTATGTTTTTTGGGTTGATGGAATAATGAGAGAAGAAATGGTATATATAGATTTTTTGTTTGGTTACCAACATATTGCCATTGAATATTTACATCGAATTTACGTCGAAATAAAATTTACATTATATTTACATCGATATTACGTCAATTAAAATATAAAGGCCAACTCGTCGTATTATCGATGTAAATTTTACGATAATGTTACGACGAAATAAAATTCGTTCTTTATTCGTCGTAATATCGTCGTAAAATTACGACGATTTTATGACAGTAGTATTTTACGTCAAAATTACGACGAAATATTTTGACGTCGTACATTCGACGTAACTGAGTCGTAAATTTACGACGACTATAAATCGACGTAAAGAATTCGACGAAAAAACCCCTCTTTTTTGTAGTAGTGTTAGTTACATATTTAATCAATGAATAAACAACAAACTAATTATATTATATAATAGAACAAATAAAATAATACACCAAATATGGTGTGATATTGTTCATGAAACAGCAAAAAAAAAAATATGCCGTCTCACACCAAATTTAGTGTTTTGCGGTCTGGTTGGAGTTGCTCTTAGCTACCTTTAAAACGACAATTACCACATCAATACTTTCGTAATCTCTAAAACTCTTTTCACTACGTATATCCAAATCCAATCTAAAACTCTTTTCACTACGTATATCCAAATCCAGAGAACTTGAAACGTGTTTAACACTTTCGAAACTTAAACTGGAAATACCTTACAACGAAATATCTTCAATTGAAACTAGAAATACGCGTCGACAAAAAAAAAAAAAAAAAAAAAAAAAAAAAAGAAACTAGAAATACGCGTCCATCGTTGTTCTGAACAACTTTGTTTGCACTTCATCCGTTATATATCTTCCAAAATGAGTACAATCGTGGAGTAATCACTAAATTCTATTTCGATTACCGATTAGCAAAATGGAATAGTTAGTTGTAACTTCTAAGTTTGCCAAGAATTGATCCGTGGCCTAAACCACTTGGTTTAAAAAGATAAAACACTTGACCTGAAAATCCCTAGAATCTCGGAGAAACAAACATAGCCGAAGCAAAATGAGCGGAGCATTGTTCAGAAACGTCGCCGCCGACGCCGCCCGGCTGATACGGCGTAACGCGGCGGCGGCGATAGACCCGTTTGGTAAAACCGGCATTGCTACTTCAGACGTCCGGCGACTGCAATCGAGGTCATGTTTCCGAAGAGCAAAAGAAACCGGAGTCTCACCTCCTTCTTCTTCGGGTTTCTGTTCATCTTCTTCTTCTTCTTCTTCCTCGTTTGCGTCGGTGGGTTTCGTCGGATGGTATCTTGGAATGGTGAAATCACGCCCAGTTTTCACCAAAAGTGTCACTTCCTCCCTTATCTACATTGCCGCCGATTTGTCTTCTCAGGTACTTGCTTTGAAAATTGCTTCAAATTTTTGAGTTTAAGATTTCAATTCGCCGGAAAATGGGTTTCCTTTTTTGTGCAGTTTGTAGTTTCACTCCATAAATGGTTCTTCTCTTCGATATTTTAGCTATGTGATTCAGAAATGTAAAAAGGCTCAATTTTGCTGGAGATGTTTCTAGGTCTTGATACCAAGTAGGAACAATATGAAGATAATATATATATATATATATATATATATATATATATATGAGAATATCAAATGTGTGTAACAGTGTAAGTGCTTAGAGGAACGAAATTTCTCTGGTCTGCTCTACATAAGTTTGATTCTTTTTGCAGAAATGGAACTTCTTGAATGGTGTTTTAGTATAGCTGTTTAATGTGAATTGTGGTGTTACATTTCCTTGTACTGTATTGTGTATTTTGAGCTTCCCATTCTGTGCGAACTGACTTTAAGAGCTGACATTGGTCACTTTGTGTTGATCTTATTCAACAGACGATTGCAAAAACTTCTTCTGAGTCTTATGACTTGGTGAGAACAGCAAGGATGGCAGGATATGGTTTATTTGTCTTGGGTCCAACGCTTCACTATTGGTTCAATTTCATGTCAAGACACTTTCCCAAACAAGATTTGATCACAACGTTTAAGAAAATGGCCTTGGGACAGACGATCTACGGGCCTACTATGATGGTGGTTTTCTTCTCATTGAATGCATTCCTACAAGGTAAGCTTCTTATATATTATGATACCATTCTTCATTAATCTTATTCATGGATATTTTGTGAACTGGATTAATTTATCTTTGCTCCAAATTACAGTTTTTCTCAACTCTAAATCATTTTGCTTGTGATTACTGATGATTGATTGGTTATTACTTATTTCCATTAGCTATCGTTCAAGAGAATCCCACAGTCCCTTGCTTTTAGATTTTTGAGAGTCACATAGAGTCTCAGGTTCATTTCCTGGTGTCTTGCAAATGAAAAAATAATTCCATTGAAATCAGCGATGGAGCTTTACTTTTATCTCAGTAGTTGGATTACACTAAACCATGTTCTAAGTATTCTACTTTATACGTTTGTTTGTCCAGGTGAAGGCGGTTCGGATATACTTGCCAGATTGAAAAGGGACTTTCTCCCGGCGATGCTAAACTGTGTCATGTATTGGCCTGTATGTGATTTTATAACATTCAAGTTCTTCCCGGTTCATTTACAGGTAACGATCATTCTGACTCGCACTTTTTTTTAGACATGTGGTTCCCTCATTGCTGTTCCTGGTTCTTGCTGCTTTATCTCAGGATTCACTCAATCTTCTCTTGTTAATAAATTTTCCTGCAGCCTCTTATAAGCAACTCGTTTTCGTATTTGTGGACAATCTACATGACTTACATGGGGAACCGTGAAAAACCAGACGCAATTTCAAGCTGAAACACTCAAATATCTTCTACATCATCTACTGCATTGCTTGTGGTTGAGAAATGAAGAAACGCAGCTCAAAAGCCCACATCAAACTGCATTGGTTAAGAGACTCGAGCATTCTTCAAAATATCTGCTATCTGTATGTAGATTTAGGTTCGTTAATTTAAGAGTTTAAAATTCAGGAGTTTTGTTTCCGCAACTACAAATTAATTGCGAGATAGGTTCACTGTACTAAAACACAAGGGGAATGATATGAAAAAAAAATCCAAAATCACCCAAAAGATCCACTACATTTGACAACCACATAAAGAGACAAAATTTTAATGTGGTTTTCGAGTGTTTAGCCCGAAGAGTTTAAAATAAAGCCTATGCCGAAAGGTTTTTGCGTAAACCAAAACTTTTCGTTATAAACCAAAGAGAAATATAACAACCGAGACATAGATGATTAAAATAAAGCTAACCAAAAAAAGTAAACATCATCTAAAATTAAACACCCAAAAAACAATAAGTATTATGAATTTTATAAACTAAAGTGTTGTCTTCAACTCCACATAATCGTTCTTAGTTTATCTTCTTTTTTCTTCTTTGTTTTCTTTGTGAGCATGAATAGTTTAAAAATCTTACGGTTTTTTTCTCATTCTTGTCCGAGTTCTTATTCATTTTTTTTGATCATTCTGTCTCATCTTCAAAATTATTATCTTTATTTTTAACATTTTGGTCTTATCTAATTTCTTATTCTTATTAGGTTTTTATTTTTTTCTTTTATTTGCATTTTCGTGCGTATATTTCGAATTTTTATTTATTAGCATTATTTTCTCCAATTTTCTTTTTGGTTTTTCTTTTTCTCGATTTTTTTCATTCTCCAAGAAATCTTCGATAACATGGATTCCTATTGCTCAATTGTGATTCCTATTGCTCAATTGTATTCTACGATCATTGGCTATTATTAATTAAATAAGACATAACCTTAGTTAACTAAATATTAATTTTCTCTATTTTTTTTTGTCATACATCAACTTTTACTTTCCATACGTTTTACAACGTCTTTGAACTTTTTGTGATTTTTTCCACTTATTGAGTGTCAGATAATTATATTATTTGGTGAGTAAACGTGAAAAGTCAGTGATTAAACTATTTATTGTTATCTATCAGATCCGCACACTGCCAAGTCTCAAACTGGCTACGTTTTTACGCATGGAGGAACAGCCATCTCTTGGAGATCAATGAAGCAGACACTCACTGCCACTTCATCAAACCATGCTGAAATCCTAGCCATTCATGAGGCTAGTAGGGAATGCGTCTGGCTGCGCTCCATGACTCAGCACATCCGCAGAGATTGTGGTATGGACGAAGACACACAGCCCACGGTGATGTATGAAGACAACGCGGCATGCATAGCTCAGCTCAAGGAAGGATATATCAAAGGAGATCGGACGAAGCACATTCTACCGAAGTTCTTCTCAACCTCAGACTGGCAGAAGGACGGCACTCTCAGCGTTCAGCAGGTCCGATCCAGTGAGAATTCAGCTGACCTCTTCACCAAATCATTGCCTACTTCAACACACCGGAAGCTCGTCAAACAGATAGGAATGTATAGACTTAGAGATCTGCAGTGATGCTACAATCAGGGGGAGTAATGCGTGTTGTACTCTTTTTCCTTCACCATGGTTTTGTCCCACTGGGTTTTTCCTGGTAAGGTTTTAATGAGGCAACATTCCCCAGCGCATTATCGAGATCCCGATTGAGTAGCTGGCCCGGTTCACTCGTCCAAGGGGGAGTGTTATAACACATATCATATATGGACTCTTATACCAGCCCATTAGGCCCATCAGGGCATTGTACTTAACTTAGATTCCCTATGTACTCTATATATACATTCCAGTGATTAATAAAGTTTCTAAGTTTTCACAACACGTTATCAGCACGATAAGACTCTCTGAGCGAAAAACCCTAATAAATCCGGCCACCACCAAAACCCTAAAAGCAAGTCGAAACTTAAAAGACGCATATCTTCCAAACCGTGAGGAACCAGAAGACGATCTACATATCAAATCGAAGCCCTCGACGAGACGAATCTACTGGTGAAAACCGTTTGTCGATCCAACGTCGGACGCGCCCTCACGCACACTTACAGTACACGACAATCAACCGAAAAAAAAAAAAAAAAAAACCAGATCCGAGTTTTTCCTTCTTCAACCAGCAGCTTCTCCAGTTTTGGTGATCAATCCTTGGAATTTGTAGCGGCTAACTGAGGTCTATTAGCTCCCAGTTTCATTAGCCTGTCAGAAATCCAAAGGTGAAAAAGGTATCTTCTAAAACTGAAAGCCATAGAACCTGTTGTTTAAACACTTCAAAACCCTATAAAAAAAAAAAAAAAAAAAAAAAAAATCGATCTCTAATTGATTGAAAGTGTTTGATACTCTGATGATTGATTGATAACTTGTTGATTGATTGTTTAAATTACAAGTTTATGCATGTTCAAAGGTTTTAAACTCGTTTTATAAAACCCTAATCTACAAAAACCTAACAACCGTTTTTGGCCATGTTTATGGCATAAACCTATTCGATTTTCTTCATGTTTAATAAGCTTGTTGTAGCTTATTTGATTGTTGATTCTCTTGCTTGAAACACTTGATTGAATAAACTAAGAAAATCAACCCTAAATCCTAAGCTTGATTCACGATTTTGTAATCTTCAAAATCGTAAGTCATAATGCTTAAACCCTAGTCCTTTTCACGTGATTTCTTTGTTGTCCTTGTGAAATTATTAAAACCATCGACCACAGATCCTATAGATCTCGAAATCACATCCAAAAATATGTTTTCCTAAACCGCCTAAAACCGGCTAAACCTGGTTCTCATTAACCGAAATTATATTCGGCTTTAACCGATTAAATCACAGCTATTAAACCGACATCATGTTCGGGGTAACTAAAACCATACCCTTTAAAATTTACTATTTCCGAGAAAGTTCCCTCTAATAGAAAGTTTCCTCATATAAAAACTTTCCTCATATAGAAATTTTCCCGACATAGAAACTTTCCTCATTTAGAAAATTACCCAAATTAGAAACTTTCCAAATTTAGAAACTTTCCTAAAATAGAAATATTCTCAAAATAGAAAGTTTCGTCATCAGCATTCAAAATTTTCTCAAAACAATCCCTAACAAAATCAATCTCATGTTTCAGATGTCAAACATTCAGAAATGTGAATTCGAGGCCCTTCACGTCTCCGGGGATAACTACCTCGAGTGGGCCCTAGACATGCGCTTGTTCCTTGCATCGAAAGAACTCGATGCATGTATTACCGACGGTAACACCGCATCCCGTAAGGGACAGTCTCAGGCGATATGTCACATACGCCATCATCTGGCCCCGAGCCTTAAGCAGCAATATCTCACTCTTGAGAATCCACTTGAATTGTGGCAAGCGCTGAAAAAGCGATATGACCATCAGAAAATGGTCCAGTTGCCTCAGGCAGATTTCGACTGGAAGAACCTTCGGTTCCAGGACTACAAATCCGTAGATGATTACAACAACGAACTCTTTCGTATTGTTGCCATCCGGAAACTCTGTGGCGAGGATGTGACAGATAATGATCTCCTCGAGAAAACATTATCCACATTCAGCACAGAGAATGTTGTGCTCCAACAACAATACCGTGCAATGAAACACACATTGTACGAAGACTTGTTGTCCTGTCTTCTCCTCGCTGAGAAGAATAACCAGCTGCTTATGAGGAACAGCGCTATGAGGCCCCCGGGATCGGCTCCTGTCCCAGATTCTCGTCAAGAGTCCTACCATGTTCAACCCGATAGATCCTCAGATCACCGCCGTGGACGTGGTAATGGACGTGGTAATGGCCGAGGACATGGACGTGGAAGACGTGGACGCGGACATGGTCATGGTCGTGGAAACCGACCTAACCTCAGTTATGGTCCTGGTCGTGGTCGAGGCATCACCAAGCCGACCCGCCACACCAACCCCGATCACTCTGCTTGTACCAGATGTGGGATGTTCAACCACCCAACAAAGCAATGTCGCACCCCCAAGATCCACTGCGATCTATACCAGAAGTACGGAAAAGCTCTTGCTGAAGCCAACATGACTCAGCCAGTCGATGCTGCTAACCTGGAAGGTGACGACCTCCTTGATGATGAGAACACCACAAACGAGCAGACCGACCCCATGGACTATGAAACAGCTGATCTCCTCGATTAATTCAATCATCTGAAACTCTGATGCAATTTGATTTTGTTCTTTATTTTTATTTTTATTTTTTTTTTCATTTTGGGATTTGTTTCATTTTTTTTTCCATTTGCCTTTATTCTCAGACACTGCTTTACTTTATGATTTATCACATTTTCTGAATTCCTCAATACTGAATTCTATCTTCTATTCATAATAAAGCACACCAGCAAATGGAAACCATAGTCGTAGATAGTGGATCCAGCCACACTATCTTAAGAAACAAAAGTTACTTCATAAACCTAACCTATCAAACCGCAAATATTAGCACCATCGCGGGTCCCTCAAACCTTATCGAAGGATATGGCCATGCCTATGTGTTGCTATCAAATGGCACACAACTTGAAATACCAGATGCTCTATATTCTCCTAGTTCGAAGAGAAATCTTCTGAGCTTCAAGGATATAAGACAGAATGGTTTCCACATAGAAACCCAAGGTCAAGGGAACAAAGAATCCCTCCTAGTCACTAAAACCGTAGACGGCCATAAACAAATCCTCGAAACCATACCCGCGCTCTCTACTGGACTTTACCATGCTAAAGTCAGTATGATTGAAGCTAATACCACTCTCAAAGCCCGGTTTACTGATTATACTATTTGGCACGACCGGCTCGGTCATCCCGGTGCAAATATGATGCGTAAACTAATTCAAAACTCTCAAGGGCATACCCTCAAAGAAAACCGAGCTTATCCTCAACACCTCATGTGCACAGCTTGTTCTCAAGGCAAATTGATCACTCGGCCTTCACCAGTTAAAATCTCTAAACAAACACTTCATTTCCTAGAAAGAATCCAGGGCGATATCTGTGGACCTATACATCCATCTTCCGGACCATTCCGGTACTTCATGGTCCTTATAGACGCATCGACCCGTTGGTCATATGTTTGTCTCTTGTCCTCTCGGAACCAAGCCTTCGCTAGGTTCTTGGCCCAAATCATCAAATTGCGGGCCCATTTCCCTGACTTCCCACTAAAGACTATCCGCCTTGACAATGCTGGTGAATTTACCTCACAAGCGTTTAATG